AGATTGTGTTTAAAACTATAGCAAGAGATGTAGATAGAGACTAGGCTGGAGCTCATCAGTGGGTTGGGAAGGAAGAGTCTCTGAGATCAAAGGAGAGAAGGGTATGTTTCCAGAAGAAGCACATACAACTATGTATAGTACACAGCACTCGACAGTGTGATAAATGACTGTTACTGTTTTAGGTACTTATCATAACCGGCTGTGCTTTTCATCCTTTAGAGCATAATCCTACTTATATAAAAGAGTTTACTATAAAACAGTGTGGTGCTATGCCAATGGTAGCCTCATGTATCTGTGTTTAACTGCATATTTGAATAATATCAAGGGGCCATCACAGATGACTGACGTATACCTTCTCAGTTTGCACTTAGAAGTTGGCACTCTGTGTGGTACTTTGCGATACATATGGATGAAATTGCCTAATAACATGTTTCTCAGATTATATTTTCATCACGTGTCACATGACTGTATTGAAATTTAAATTTTAAAAAAATTGGCCTATGTGGAGTCTACTAGTTAACTAGAATTTTTTCTCCAGACCACTATTTGTTCAATATTAGTTTTAAAATTCTTTTTAAAACAAATCACATCTTCTGTCTTGTTAATGCTTGAGATTTTTCTTTTAAATTATATGGAAAAATGTTTAAGTACTTTCCAGTTTTGCTTTGGTTGAGTTCTATTATATTTGATTATTATAGTTTTTTTCCCTTGCATTGTTTTTCTTTGAATAATTTTAATTTTTGTATATGTATGTGTTTAGTGAACAATAATAAAGTTATACATTAATAAAAAAATTTTAAAAATTAAAAAAAATAAAAGTTTGATACAAACTAGAAAGTGGTTTAAGGTTCACTACCGATCCATTATACAGCTGCATGAAAGCACTGAATCCACCTTCTACTCACCATTTGTAATTCTCAGCAGACTGGCCAATAATTCAAGGAAAAGAAGAACCATGAGCTTTCAAGTGGATTGACCGAACGTTTAAAGAAGACAGGTAAGATTTGCCATTCAGACCACAAGTGATGTAATCCTTCCTTCACCACTCAGACTGCCTAGTTAACTTTGCCAGGGCTGTATCCACCTTCCCGCTGTCAGAGACACCCTTACCTGTGGTAGAGCAGCTGTACTGGGGATATTGTGTGAAAGCGATAGCCCTCTGCAGTCCATCTCTCTCCATCTCCTCAATTGCTTCTTCTGTTAAAGGATGGACATATCGGAATCCAATATAGTATTTGTGAGGAGCTATTAGAAAGCACAAGTGGAAAGGAGAAAGTATTCATCTTTATATAGATTCCTTGGTATCGCCAAACATAATGCAATGCCCAAAAGAAAGAACAGTTAACCTCATTTCCTATGATGCTGATAACGTGGGCAAGTTTAGCATATTCCTTGGATTTTATCCATTCTCCAGTTGGTCTGTGAATTTTTACTATTTCCTGGGATCATCACCCCCATCACACATCTTTAATTAGAACAATGGTTATTTAAATCCAATCTTTTGTTCTTAATTCTCTGTTCTTGGCTGGAATAAATGAGACTCAAGAGAAGAGAAGGGAAAACTAGCACTAATTCTTAAAGTGTACCTCTTCTTGCACATTACTCCTGTAAGTGCTACTTTTTAAGAAAAGGAAATAGAAATGCTGAAGGTTAACTGACTTGCCCAAAGCCACAACTGGCAGGAGGTCCAGCTGCAACTGCAGCCTGGGTCCCCAGCCTAAGGATGGTCCTTCCACACTCTCACCTGTTCCCATCATCCAATTCCCTTTGACTCCAGGTCATCTAGTTTATTAAACAAATGCAAAAGCTCTGGGACTCAAAGTACACAGGTAACATACATAAAACAATGCTCAAGTTAGAGGCATCAAGTGGAATGTAAAGTAATTGTTCTTGGCCCAAACTAGCTCAAGTCTGCTGCATAGTTTTGTGCTCTTTCTTTCTTGGTTTACCAACTCCCTTTTCTATTGTTTTTATCTTGGGGCATTTCAAAGACATCCACATCACATAATTGCTCAGGCATATATAAAATCATAAAACTGAAAGTATCCTAAAGTTACCTGGTCTTGTTTCCTTGCCTTTTATAAGATCATGTAAAACTTATACTCAGATGATATTGAGATACTCTACACAAATACCAAGTAATCATAAAATCAAGATGATGTTATTATACAAAACATTTGTAGGGACCGCAATGAAGAATGCAACACAAAATTGCCACAAGAAACATGTACGTTAAAGTGAAAGAAAAGACAGTCTATCATATATACATATATATAATTTATATATATGGATATGTACATATCTATATGGATATATACATGGACAATATCCTCCATAACTTGACCCATGAACTGTGAAATAATGGAACGTGTTACTAAGGACAGAAGCATAATGTCAATAGGTGAGAGAAGCACGGACGTGTGTGGAAAGCATGATGTGATTCAGTATTCCCTCGCTGCAGTCTGCAAAAAGAAGGAGGATTATAAGAGGGCCTTTCAAGGCCCTTCTATGTTTATGCTCTCTTGCATAAAATAGGTGAATGGAGTTAAACACAACAGAGGATATGGCCCTATAAGCAAACTCCAAATAAATGGCCATTCAATGATTATGTGCTTCATGGGAAAACTACTCATTCTCACAATATCATGAAGTCCAATTTTAGGCAATTCCAGGCAATCCAAGCTACGGTTTAGCAAGGCAGTGGAAACTGCTTTCTAATCTACTTGGAGACATTATAATTATCACCTGACTGAGTGAGCTCCCCAATGCTGCAGGTCAACCAGTTTTTCACTATGTCTTTTCACCTGTCCAGTATTTGAAAGTTGCAGTCTAAATGCCTAGGTCTGGAAATTCCTCAAATAGTGCAGACTCAAAGAGGAGAGACTGCTCTCCCAGATAAAGCCAAGGTGGGTGACCATATTTTGAAGGGAGCAAGAGTGAAATATTCTGGGAAGAACGGATAATGCTTTCTAATGGCCCATGACCACATATTTTAGAAAAAGTATCAACAGGCTCCTGACTAGGTCAATGCTGAGGAACCAACAAATGGTATCCACAAAGGACTTTCCCAGTCATGGTAAGTTTCCTTACCATGCTGTAGCTGGCTGTCCCAGGCAAAACACATGGAGGAGAAGGTGCCTCTCTGACTAACATCTGGCCAGAATAATGCCTAAACACATGACTCACTGGCCTTGCCCAGTCTGCTCTCTGAGCTGCTGCCTACAGGACTTTTTCAAGAGAAGAATGAAAAGACAGAAAAATGGGATTTTTAAGCAGTAAAACTTCATTTATTAAGCATGCACAATAGTTTCAATGTGTGACATGATTCTTTGAAAGAAAGGTTTAAATATGGAGCATGATGCTTTTAAATCTGCATCAGATCATGAACTCCATGCCAATGATAAAGCTCAATTTTTACCATCTACCAAGCACCATGCTAATGCGTTCAGGATTATCTTATTTAATTTTCACAAGGATCCTAGGAGTGCATCCTATTCTCCCTTTTGGAGATGAGGCTTAGAAAAGTAACTGGCTTGAAGTCATATAACCAAGAGGGAAGCCAGCACTAGCCTAACCAGGTCCCCAGCTCCTACCCATTATGCTTCCTAGCTTCATTAAAAGCAGTCACGGTCCAAAGAATTAAACCATAATTTTAAAAACATATTTTAGACTTCGACTTTTTATCAAAAGATTACACTTCTCACCTATTTCCTTTTCTCTTTGTTACGTCACTGTAACACATTGCAACTACATGAAAGCATGCCCAAGCCATATCCCTTGCTATACCTCAACGCATTCATTAATTGCTCAATTCTACACAAAGCCAAGGCAAGTCTCAATATTTCCATTCTAACGACCGAGCAGCAACTATGTCCCTAAAACGACAGCACAAAACATTTTTATCTGTTTGCATTCATCACATTTTCTTGACGTTTCCTATCAGAAATAACTAAATAGACACAATTCAAACATAAACTTTGTAATAGTGTAGGAAATAAAGAGTAATAAGAATGTCTTCGTCCAGTTTCTGTTGCTATAACTGAATACCACAGACTGGGTAATTATACAGAATAGAGATTCATTTGGCTCACAGTTCTAGAGACTGAGAAGTCAAAGAGCACGGCATCAGGTAAGGGCCCACTGGTGTGTTGTGACATGGTGAGGGGCGCGACATCCTGAGAAAGAGCATGTGTAATAGTTCAAGTCTCTCTTCTTCATACAAAGGCTCTACAGCCATCAAGGGGGCTTCATCCTCATGACCTCAGTTAACTCTAAGCACCCCCCAAAGGCCTGACTTCAAACACCATTAACATGAATTTGAGGATTAAGTTTCTAATACATGAACTTTTGACATGACACACTCAGACCATAGAAGAGGAGGGATGAGAAAGAAATGGAGAGAGAAAACATGAAGAGGGTGAGGTAGCAAGGGAATTGATTCCTGGTCCCTCTCAAAAGCATTGGGGCTTTATCACCCAGCAAAGTGTGAGTAGCGGGACAAGAAGCAACTTTCTGGGAAGTCTGGGGAAACTGTAGGGCCTCATTTAGTGATCTTCGCAGAAGTCCCCCTACTTTGAGACTATTTCATTTTTGGTACTAGGGATCAAACTCGGGACCTTGGGCTTGCAAAATAGGCGGCAGAACCACTGAGCTAAATCCCCAGCCCGACTATGTCATTTTTTACACACTTGCATCCTGTGTGCTCATCAGCCCTCACATGTTTTATGTACCATCTCTCCAATAAGACTCCAAAAGATTTTTTTCTGTCTTAGCAGACTACCTAAAGCAGCAAAGTCCCACTGAACTGGAAATTTCTTGTAAAAAGAAACCATGGTTTTCAACTCTAAATAGCAGTGCTGCTATGGAATAAATGAATAGGTGGTGTTGGGCCATATTCAATACTATTACCAGATCTTCAAAGCAGGCCTGACAAAAGGATTAGGAGTGGTCAACTACCATGCAAGAGAAAGCCAAAATTTAACTGGCATGCCTCCAAGGAGAACAAGTATGGGCCACAGAAGATGATTTGCCAAAGGGTCACCAATATCAATAGCCACTCTGGATTAGTACCCTGGAAAAGCTTCCAAGACTCAGAGAAAACAAAAGTAGCCCCCAAAGGGGTGATTTCTTACCTTAGTGAAAACTGCTGGGCTAGTTCCTCCATGGTGGTGAGGTGTGGCTAACTCACTACTCTGTCCCTAGCACTACACCTGACAGGTGGTGAGAACTGATGCTGATCTGGTGGTTGGTGGGATCGATGAAGGATGGATGGATGTGAGACTTTGTGGATGGAAGAATGGGTGAGTACATGCGCAAAGGAATGGCGTGAGCAAAGGAAAAAGACAATTTGCTGCAACATTAGGAGTGCTTTAGTGACTGGACAGGCAAGCCACCAAGCAGACTCGTGCACCATGAACACCTGAAACTTATCTCCAAAATCATAATGAACAGTAATGGACCATTTAAAATAAGTTTGTAGAGGAGAGCAAACTGACTTTTTAAAAATCACTTTCACAATTTTGACTATGTAAGGATGAAGTAAATATTACTGTTTTTTGATACCTACCGAAATAGAGTGCATTTCATCCCAGAATCCACATACTTGTAATTTTCTGTCTGTGCACTATCAAGATCATTAAAATGATCAGATGTCCAACAGCAAGGGGCACATTGGGCTAATCCCCGGTCACGTGGTGGGACCCTGTCCAGCCAACCTGGGAGGCTGTGGCCACAGCTGGCCTGACTGCTCTGGACAATCCAACAGCCTCATCACAGAGAACAAAGGGAGAGGAGGAGGTGGAAGGATGCCTATCATCTATTTTCCTTTCTCAAGTCTGACATCTCTGTTAAGGCTCTTTATGATAACATGTAAACAGGAAAAAAAAATGGCACTTTTCTGCCTCTTCTTTCCAATAAATAAATTGTAAGTCTGATTCATACTAAATCGTTTATCACAATAAGCTGTTAATAACAGGGTTTGTTCCCTACCAAGTAAGGGTAAGCACAAGGCAGCCAAGTTTCCCTCTGCCAACATTTTAAAAGATGCACTGTGGCATGTGTGGCTGAACCATACAAGAAATGCCCTTGAGCCCCAGGGGAAGAAAGGATACAAACCTAATATTCAAAGGCGAAACTGAACAATTTTCCAAGTGAGATGATCTGCTGAGGGACCAGCAACCTTAGTCGCTTTGTGCAACATGAAATGCTGAATTCTGAGAGCAATTCTAGTGGATGCTAAATGATGTTGTCTCAAAGAAGAGAAATGTTCCTTTTGGTCCTGCCTAATAAGGCTTTTTGACAGTTTCCACAGTGTCACATACCTGTCCTGGGACCTAAGGCCCTAAAATGGCAGCGAATATATTTCATGTCTCTTAACATGCATATTTTTCAATTTTAACATTTCTCATATTCATTTACATCTAAAATAGTCTTAAAATTAAATAGCAGTGTTTTATGTGTCTTAATATTATGCAAAATAGTAGTGTCCTATAATCAAGTGTGTCTTGAGTACAATTAAATATGACACTTGCAATTCATTTGTGCATTTAGTGTTTCATTCTGCCATGAAGAGAGCTGTTATCATATACACAATCCTCTTTTTGTGTCACGTCTAATGCAGCACTTCAACATCTGCCAAAGATGGTATTGCTGAGAGCTGAAAGCAGTCACTGAAAGTTGCTTAGTGTCTCTGGTTTCAGTGACAGTTAGCTAATTCAGCTCTAAATGTCGATCTAATTAGCTATCCAACCAGAAAGAAAAGGCCCTAGCTGCAGTCTCAATCCATTTCCCAAAGATTTCTTTCAAGTACAATGATATATAAATCTTCTATTCATTTATATCACTTCTGCCTTAAAATCTAGTTCAACTTGCCAGGGATTTAGCTCAGTGGTGCCACCGCCTGCCTCGTAAGCATGAGGTCCCAAGTTTAATCCCCGGAACCAAAAAAAAAAAAATCTAGTTCAACTCAATGCCTTGAACTTCCTTTTGAAAGTAGTGTTCCAAATTTCAGCTGTTTTACTTGTAACATAGGAAATAATGGCAAAGGCTCTATAGTAACAAGATAGCACCTCAAGAAATCAGGTAAGTGACCAGGTACTATGTAGAAACTCACAAATCAAGAGCTGGTACAAACAACAGCATCTGGCATCCAATACTGTTTTGAATTTCATCTGAATGAACAAACTGAGCACTACGTTAATGAAGACAGATCATACCTGTATCAGGGGACAACTCATCCAGCAGCTTCACCATGCCTTCTCCTTGCTTAGAAGTCCACATCTTGATTGGAGATCCACCTCCAATCCTGCGATACTGCTCTTGAATCTTGGGGGTTCGGCGTTTGGCAATGAATGGTGCCAGCTTACTAAATCATTTAACATGTAGGTAAGTGGATTTTATTCCACCTTAGCAACCTGAGAAATATTTTCTACTCAATAAAAAGGGTAAGCAAAAATTTAAGAAAAACCTAACAGGATCAAGCCTTTAAAAATAGAAGCTTAAAGGTATTGACAAGAGCCAATTCTTTGGGCATAGAGAGCTAAAGCTAGACACTCTATAAGAACTATCTGTCCCTATACTTCATAAGTTGTTCTAGCAGCATCCCCTGAAGAATCAGGACACTCAACACCCATGGAGAGAACCCTGGATGCATGCTAGATACTCTCTTATGTTTTGATCCTGGACCTAACAAGAATTTGGATATAAGACACAGGAACAAGGCTCAGGCAAGAAGATCATGAGTTTAAGGTTAGCCTGGTTACAAAGAGAGACTCTGTCTCAAAAAAGCAAAACAGGAGAGGGAAGAAGAGAACAACATAGAAAGTACTCTGCTTATAAAATAGTAAAATGTATATTAATCTTATACTTGCATATATGAGCAATGATGTATGCAAAAAACTGTTGGCCGCAACACTGTAAACAACTTAACTATCCATCAGTGAAGCACAGGTTAAATAAATTAAGGTAAAACTATACAACTCTAAACAGTTGTGAAAGACTGAGCCAGATCTATATAATCTAGTATGAAATAAGATACAGTGTTAAGTTTAAAAATAGCAAAATGACAAGTGATGTACATTCATATTTGTGTATCAAAGTAGGGGAAGGACACATGTGCACATATATGCTTGGATGTACATGAAATATTTCTACATGTAACAGTGCTTACTTCCAGGTGGGTGAATGGGGGTCTACAGTTTATGGTAAAAAGAATACTTGCTTTTTACTGTATTTTATACTATTTGCGCTTTTAATCATATGCATGTATTAACTGCAAAACCTTTTTGAAATAAAGGGGAGAAGTGGGGAGGGATGAATGAAAAGAAAAAAATGGCAACGATCCATATTAAAGTCCAAATGAATAACTATCATTGCTTCCTTGAGTGTTAATCAGCCATTAAGCGCCAAGTATAAATATATCTTTAAAAATCTTTAAAGGCACTTCAGCTGTGTCAAGACAACTGCAACTGCTGGGGCTCTGGGGAGGAAAGGGCTCAAGGGAAATGCTCAGTAACCTGCTCTGCTCTAGAATTCTTCCCATGTTGTATCTTTCTGATTGTCTAAAGAAAATAATGCTGCTACTGAAACCACTACCACACATACATTAAAACTATTTCATTTTTTCAAACTATATAGTTCAGCTACCTGTAAGGCCACAGGCACTGCATACATTATTTTAAAAAGCGCAGGCATTTATATGTTCTTACTTTTGAACAGGAAGTGTCATGAGATCTCGGTCCAAGAAGAGCCTGAGAAGGAAGTCGTGAACATCTCCAAGAGTTTCGGGGCCTCCCATGTTTAGCATTAGTATTCCAGTTTTTGGTTTCCTATATGAAAAACAAATGGCAACAGCTGACCTGTCACACTCTCACTTCCCACTAGGAGAGACACAGAGTTTAGCCTAACAAGCTCTCATCTAACCTGTATGCAAAAGTAAAATCCAGACACCTTTTTTGCTGTTATCCCACAGCTACCATTTGGGAACACGGGAGGCTTCCATTTCTCCATTGTCCCAGTTCACACCTCAACACTATCTTTTAGCTCCACCCAGGACATTGGTCTTCACTGGGCTCATACTATTTCCTGATTAACCTGCCAGCCCTGAACAGATCAAATTCTTTGGAGACTGGGAGTCAAGACAGAAATCTAAAATTGTTCTGAGGCTGAAGAACCTATACACGTTAGTGCCTAATAAATAAGCAAACTCCAAGTTCACTCATATGCTAAAGTCCACCACCTATTTCAAAAGGTTATTTTGAGAATTCAGTGGATAAAGTGCTTAGTCACTTAGCATGATCCAGTACACAAGAAGTTCTATCATACAGAGGATTCCCCTATAATTTTAAACCTCTAAAATATAGCATGAGCCCATCTCTTATCTTACTCTTTTCAACTGTTTCTTTCTGTTTAATTACTAATTATTCCTGACTTACATTTTTTGTTGCTACTATGCTTCCTTCTCCAGGGCTTGCCCTTACTCCTTCCTCAGTATCTCCTGCTGTGATAAACTACATTTCTCATTCAGCATTCACCTCTCTATCTTTCCCGTAAGTCTACTGCTTAGATAATTCCTTCAGGAAATGATGCTAAACACTCAAATGCATCCTAGGCTAAAAAAATCAAGCATTGCATGAGAAGGGAGAAGCAAAAAGAAAGCAAAACTCTATACCAAATGTTTTAAATCAAGTAGCTTCTGTGAAATAAGAAAAAAAAACCCAGAAGTGCTGAACACAAATGTAAACTTGCAAATTCCACACAGCTCTGGAGCCTGCAGTCTGAAGGGAGCCAGGCTAGTTCTCTCTACTTGCACATGCCGCCAGAAGCAAGGTGAAGCCCAGGACAGAACCAACTGCCTCCATCTGCACTGGGAGCTACCAGAGACTTGGAACCAGAAGGTCAGAGTCTGAGTGGGCCATGGAAAACCAGGGACCCTGCATGTCCCCGTGAAAGCAGAGCCATGTGATGGCAGAAAACCAAAGGACTGCTGAGATGGCTCTTCTGGAAGTCTTTTCATAACGTGTACTAAAATGAATGATAGTATGACATTTTTATCAGCAATTTAAAACAACTGTTAACATCATTTGGCAATAATGTTAGGCAGCAGAGTATCAAATCTAAAGGTAGAAATCATTTTTTGATCAAACACACTGTAGTTGAATGAAGTAGAAATCTGAATTCTCAGTTCAAACTTTCAGCATAGAGCCAATTCATGGATAGGGAGAAATATTACAATGAAGTCAGGAATCTTCTAATTTAGATAAAGATGAACTAAAATCACTTTTCACATCTTTGTCTTAGACTAGGGTTTCTCAGCCTTGGCACTAACTTTGTGGGCTGGGTAATGCTTTATGGCAGAGGACTGTCCTGTGCAATGTAGGATGTTCAGTCACATCTCTGGCCTCTATCTACCAGAGAGCAACAGCCCACATCCCGCTCCAGCTGTGACAACCAAAAATATCTCCAGACACTGCCACCCCTTATTGAGAACCTGTCTCAGAAAAAGAAAATCTGATCCTCTTTTTACTGAACTGAGTAACTATGCCAAAAATGTCATTGTTATTGAACTTTTCCACACAGAGGTCCTATCACTAAATTCACAGTTGTGTTGAGTTTTCTTTTCTTGCTACCTAAAACTTCCAGATATGTCATTTTGTGAAGCTGTAATATTCTCTTAATCTTTATACTTAAATCACCAGTCTTCTCTTGGGATCCTATTTTTCACCCTCAAAATCTGTGACTCACAATATATTAAGTGCATTTTCCCATGGATTGCTGCCAGTTAACAGATTACTGGTTAAGAAACCCCAGGCTAAAGGACTTACCTAAGCCACAGAGGGTATCAATGTGGAAACGGGATTGAGAACTGTGTTTTTCATCTGTAACACCTGAGCTCAAAACAAGAGTGGCTTTAAAGCGGACATGACTCTGCCCTGCTCACGGTTTTGCAAACCCATGTTGATCTTAGACGTGAAAAAAGACACATGTGATTTGAAAATGCTCAAATACTCATGCATTTAATTCAAAACTGTGTTGTGCATGATGAATGGAGCATTAGTAAGCTCGGTCTGACTCTGCTCTATTCCAGAATGTGAAGTGCAAAGCTTTAGTCAAGGGTCTCTGTCTCTCCTTCAGACGGAACACACCTGAGACCAAGGTCTGACTGGTCAAGCTCCCTTTGTTTGAACATAAAAGTGTGTAAAGAAAAACATATTTTAAAACTTCTTTCTTGAAAAGGTTTAAATGTTTTGCCATTTTTATACTCTGGGACCCTCGAACTCTGAGGTTTTCCCTTTGTACTATTAAATCTACACAACAGAAACAAACATCAATTAATAAAGAAACAATGGTTTTGTTCTACTATATATAATCAGCATTAAGAAAAAAACCTCCAGCTCTTCATTAAATCTGTAAGATGTAACTGACCCATGGATCTATGCTACCCCTAGAACAGTGTGGCAAACTAGAGTCCCTGTATCAAATGTGCATGTGCGCGCGCGCACACACACACACACACACACACACACAGAGTATATATTAAATTTTTTTTCTGCTTTTGTAAACAAAGGTTTGTTGGGACACAGCCTCACTAACGGATCCGTGTGTTATCTATGGTTACTTTCACATGACAACAGCAGAGATAAAGCACAATGAGAGGGAGGCATAACCTACAAAGCCTACTTGTGCATCCCACCCTCTGCCTTATCTGTGCACACGGCACTATGTGGTGGCCAAAAGAAGGAGAGTTAATGCTCCCCTGCGCTCTTCTCTACACAGCATTCAGCTGTTGCCCACACAGGCCACATTCAAGCTCCTCCCACTAAAGCCATAAAAAAGTGTGGTTAAAAACTACATAATGAGGTTAAAAGTTTATGATCTTGTGGGGTCGCCTTACTAGATGTCTAAGGCCAAATGCGGCCTGCGAACCACCAGTTGGACATGTCTGTAGTTTATTACACCTAAATTAAACCTACATAATACAAGTTTTTCAACCCCTAATCTAGTACACCATCTAGTCCAGTCTGGTCTAAGCACTAAGCAGCACAATATCTTCAAAAGGTCTGACATCAGAATGACCCAGTAGGACACCCATGGCTTAAACATCTGTAATACTGAAAAACTACAAACAGCCCATCCATTATGAGGGGCTGAATAAACTATGATTTAACAAAATACTCCTAAGCTACTAAAATAATATAGAAGAAGATTTATAGTTGTGATGATATATTAAGTAAAAAGAGGATACTATAAAACTATTTACAGTATTGTCACATTTTGGTAAGTCCAGTACAAACTAAGTGAATATTAATAGATACAAAGACAAAATATTAAATAGTAAGATTATCAGTGGTTTTTAATTTTTTTCCTGTCTAGGTTTCCCATTTCTTTTGTATAAATGACATGAAGTTCTTTAATAGAATCTGGGGCTCATTTTAGATTTCTATCTAATTTTAATAACTGAATATGAAGGCTATTTGTATTATTGAATAATATAATAAGGAAATAATTTTTCTTTTCAGGGTTCTACATCAGATCAGCTCTTCTGTTTATACCAATACTTATTCCAACCCCTAAGTACTGAGGGCGGAGGAGGGAGGAGAGAGGAGGGCTCAGTGGCAGTCAGAGGCAATGTGCAGGGCTCCTATCTTCCTCAATAACTCCATTGCATGGAGGACAGAGAGCTGGAAGATGATCTGGGACTCCACCCCTAAGATCTCCTTAATACATCTTAGTTTCCTTAGCACTCAATCAACAATCCCATGATCACAATGACTAGTAACAAACTCAAAATTAGAATACTTTATTTCATTGCTGTATAACTTCCCTGGACCAACATCTAGCCTAGCAGAAAAGGTCAAAAAGTTAAGTAGGGCACAGCTACTTTTCTTGTTTCACTTGGCCTGGTTTTAAAGTGAGCTGTTTCATCTAAATAAATTCCCTTAGTAAAGTCTGCTGTCGTTCCTTTACAGAGGAAGACTAGAGGACAGCTGTGGCTTGTTACTAAAGAGAACACTCAGCAACATTAATCCTGCTGCCCTGCACCAGCAAACAGAAGAGATGAGTTAGAAAATATACCCTCTATTTTATTTCTGGTGCTGGAGATTAAACCCAGGATCTTATGAATGCTAGTGAGCTACACCCTTAGCCCTCTATTTCTTTAATAAATCTAATTAATTATAAGTCATAATACATCATTTATAATTACATTCATGTGTTAAAAGATGAAAAACAATGGTAGAGTTTCCTATAGGAATTCTTGGTAGGCTAGTTACTCTTTATCCTGCACGAGACATACATTATATAGACATAATTATGTTAGGTTAATAAATACATTTCCAGTACACACATGATTTATGTATATTGCAGGACCAAATTCTTTCATGATTTGTAGTCCGTTTGTACTCAACTATGTGTTCTTTAACAAAAGCTCAGTTGAAGAGGAGTGTTAAAACCACCTGTTAAAAAGAAGCCAAGAAAATAACATTCCGTTCCTAATATACTGGGTTTTCCCAATACCTATCCTCCTAGGTAGTTTGCATCCACTGGTGTTTGCAACAATGAAAAGAAATCCTTATTTGCACCTAAAATTGGACTCATACCTCTTTTCTGGTTGAACTTGAGGTTTTGCACTTTTAGTACGTTGACTTGTCTCTGTGGTGGTGGTTGCTGCTGCTGCTGCTGTACCCAACTGGCATCTCCATGGCTGATGGGTCCTCAAGCTGCCATGCACCACTGTGACAAAATTAAAGTGCTAGCATGAAATCTAGCTGGAAAGTAATTTCTTTTGAAGAGGTCCTCAGGGAATAATTCCTGGCTTTCAAATTTAAAGAGATGAGATGGCAGAGGTGATTTTCCTAGCATTTCTCTACAGGCAGGTAAAGGCACTTAAGGCCTTTCCAAAGGGATGGGGTGTAGGATGGCTTATGAGAGCCTGTGGGGATGCTTTTTAGAAGCCACATACATATACCTCCCCTCCTTGCACTGGCTGCAGATTTTGATATGATTCCTCACAAGACCACTGCACATTCTGAATGTTACTGACAGTAGTACAGTGCTCAGAGGAAAGGTGAAGAGCCACTGATAGAGTGGAAAATGGGCCACTTTCCAAGTAGCTACAGATTTCATTTCTGACTTTAAGCCTTTTCTAGTAAAACACAGTGCTGGGAACCCCAGTATTGCCCTTGGAACCTAACAGAAGGACCTATGGTTTACAGAGTCAGCTTTGCCCTCCCAGCTTCTGCTCACTGCATCCTGCCTAAATGCCCCCTAAGGGCAGATCATGCCTTGAATGTAAAAAATTCTTGACCTCAAGGATGGTCAAGGGAAGAACTGGAGGTAAGAAAAGAAGCAGGCCTTCCAGGGCAACTCACTCAAGGCCTCCACATTTCTGCAGGAGCCTGAGTTCAAGAGCTCACCACTGTAAGTCATTACAAAGGTCCATTTGTCAGTGTCAGAAGACTGAACACATTCCAGTTTAACTTGCTATCCCATATGTGATACATGTGTCCCCTGGGTATACTCTTGCCTTGGACTCCCACAATCCTGCAGAAATCCCCTGAATTGAAGAGTCCACTTGCCACACTCAGTTGTAGCATGAAGAGTGTTGGTCTTAAAAATGCAGTAACAGTAAACTAAAGCCAGACAATAGAAGGTAAAGTGGGACCATGGTCACCACCTTGTTCCATGCTGTACACTTGCCATCTTTCCACACTGGCAAAACAGCAGATTAGAAACAGCTTGAGATAGGTCTCCAAGCCACAGCCTCCTTTTAGGCAACAATTCCCTGAGGAGGAATTTAGGCTGTGAACCACTCTGAACTCAGCTGTCACTTACTAGCAATTCGACCTGTGGCCCAATTATAATCTTTCTAAGCCTAAATTTCCCCAGCAATAAAATGATGACACCTTGCTACTGGAACTCTTAGGAAAATTAAAGCAAATAAGATGAGTAAAGTGCTCTGGAGAGTCTGCCACATAATTAGTGCTAGCTTTAGTTTCATTTGTAAGTTTCTAGACAGTAGGAACTACAACTGCTCTGGTCTTTTTTTTTTAAATCACCCAACATGTGTACAGTATGTAAGAAAATCATATTTCCAAACCCCTTAGATTTCCATCTATCCCAATTGCGCCCATTCTCAACAGAGCCAATTATATAACTTTGTGCTGAGTAATCCTTATTATGTTCAAAGTGGAAGTGTAAAGATTGACATAAAAAAGTTCAATTACATTTAACACATATCTCCTTATTTTAGATAAAATACTATAAATTTTATATTATTTTGAGAGTAATATTGCTAA